TCCCTTTTCTTATTCTTGGGTGACATAGCTGGTCTACAAAATACAAAAAGGGACAAAAAAACGGAATATTAAAATGCTTTACTCTGGCCTTTGTATATGGCAGGCAGAGAGCCCTGGTAACTTACCGTCGGCGTCGTCACGCGCACACACACGCACACACCACCCGCTCGCTGCCAGTGAGTGCAAGCATAAAAAGTAGTCCCGGCCCGCGCGTGTAGCCTGCCTGTCAGATACCCCGCCGCCAATCAAATTACGGCGTATCTTGTACTGTCGTCGTCCTGGCCGTTGGAATCGATCCAAATAGCAGCGCAAAGATCCAAATGCAGCGCATATATCAAAATAGCAGTTCAAAGGAGCTTGCTAAATATTGGTGGGGACAAATTTGTCATCTCAAAATATTGATTGGGACTAGTACCTAGCGTCCCCCCCTAAACCTACGCCCTTGGGCTGAACTGAAAGAAAAATGGGAATTTGAATAAAAAAAATATAAAAAAACATTGTAGCAATATAATATCACATACTATTTTTCAGAAGATAGTTCAATCTGTAATTGTATCCCTTCCATCGCAATGAGTTTTTTTTGGCACATGCATTAAGCAGGGAACGCAAATATTTATTGGATAATTTATTTGGAGACCGTAATATTGCATCCTATTGTTTTTAATTGCATTTGGATAAGCGTGCGCTGTACTCTGTGTGCGGGTGTTATACGATCTTTCGAACAGCAGGAGGCGCTGTGTTCGAAAAACGAGGGGTCTGAGAATGCGGGACTCTCGGTGGGGGACTGTGGATGCCGGCTTCGAGTCTGCAGCTTCATAATATTGGACTAGATCACTTTAACCAGATCTCGCGATAAACATTTCTGCCATTTTCAATTTTATTTTACACGAGGCAGCTGTTGGAGAGCAACGGGTGAGCGACACTCTGATAACCTTTAAATGTATACTTCGATCTTGTAAGTATGCGTGTTATTTTTGTTATGTTCATTGTTTAAATAAGTTAGTCGTTATAATGTGTAGAAACCGTGACATTTTAACATTACCATTGCAGAGTAGGCTACTATTTTTCTGCAACAAGTTAACGTTACCTGCACGTGTTATTGCAACTGTGTGCCCTTAATCTAAAATGAATCTAAATTCAAGGTGGTAAGCATGAAACTATGAAACTTATCATTACTATTTTATTTGTATTATTATTAAAGACACCAATATATTTTTGTTTTTAGATTAGAGTAAGAAATAATAGGTTTTGATTTAATGCAAATTTTCAAAGTATACTTTACATAAAACTTAACAGCAACATGAAAAGAAATTATAAAAAAAATATTTTTTCCTTTCTAATTAATAAAAGGTAGTGGCAAACAGTAAAGTCTTTAAACTTGATTTAAAAGAATTAAAATAAGCAGCATACATTCAGTTTTCAGTGAATTTGTTTCAGATATATGGTGCATAAAAACTGAATGCTGCTTCTCCATGTTTTGTTTTGACTTTGGGGATATAAAAGTAGCTGGCTACTGTCCCAGGTGACCTGAGAGGTCAGCTCTGGATGGTTCATAATGCATCAGAAGATTGGAAATTTACTTTGGCCTTAATTTAATTATTGATATTAATTTATTAATAATATTGATATAAATTGTCTATATTGATATAAATTATATAGTCTCAATCTATATTCCATTAACTCTATATTGGCCAGCTCTAGTGTGCATCCTAGCAAAAGTGAATGACTGTAATTAGTTAAAAATGATTGTCAACAATGCTTTTCATGAGCTATAAATTTTTTTTTTCTCATTTGGCAGACGCAGTGATGACCAACTTTCCTTCGGCGACTGAATGGGAAATAAAAAATGCAATTTCTGGTCATTTTAAACAAGCACCAGGGAGAGCAGGGGGTGGTGGTTATGGATATAAAGCTAACAATTCTTAAAAATTTTAGTATCTTAAGTTGTTTTACATATTTTCCTATTTTTTATTTGTTAATTTTTATGTTTGAATGTTGTCTAAGTTGTTAATATAATTGTTCTAAATAAATCCTTTATATTCAATTAGGATGGATTTTCATTTATGAGAACCTGTTGTATTTGAGTGAAAAGAATCCTTATGCCTCATTTTGTTGTCTATTACATGTATATGTAGTGTAATTGATGACTAGTCTATTCTTGGGCTATGGTTAGACATCTATTAGATTTTCACTGACAGCCCAAAATTAGCCTTGGTTTAGCCTAGACCCATATTGCCTGTCTATTAGACGTATATATGTAGTCGTTTAATAGCTGTCTAATTGATGACTAGTCTATTCTTGGGCTATGGTTAGACGTCTATTAGACGTATATATGTAGTCATTCAATAGCTGTCTATTCTTGGGATATGTTTAGACGTCTATTAGATTTTCACTGACAGCCCCAAATTAGCCTCGTTTTAGCCTAGACGTCTGGGCTGTGTTTTGACGGCTATTAGACGTCTATTAGACGCAAAATTGCTTGCTGGGAAATCACCTCAGAATTGTAAAGTAGGCCTAGACACATCTACGGACAATACAATAATAATATCCATTTCTGAATATGTAACTCGAATAAACCATATTAGCTATATGGAATAAACCAGTTTATTAAGTAGGCCAATTGAAAAAAGTTGAACTGTTATCTGTTATTTCTGAGCCATATTCACTTTTTACAGGTAGTTGAGTAAAGCACGCATTAATGAGTCATTGTTAATCATAATTTAATACCCAAGCTCAAATGTAGGCTATTTGCACACATCTTCAAATTATTGCACAGAATTACCACTTACCCTTTTCACCGCACCCAACTTATCCATTTGAAAGTGTTTCAGTTCATTGTGTACTTCTTTTGTTCCAAAACGATTCATTTTAAACCATTGATACCTTAATTGTCAATTTCTGGCTTGAACATGGTCAGTGTTTTTGTTCATTCATTCAGAATTAAAAGCTCATCACATGATGAATCCCATTTAGCGACCAAGAACCTTTGAACACGAAGTACAAGACTAAAAATGACTGAATAATGAATTCATAATCTAGATTGTCAACAAAACAGATATGAGGAAGTCAGCATTAGAATGTGGTGAAACAAGAACAAGACTTTGAAGCAAAGCACCTGTATTGTGTCTATGTGCTTGTCAACATGAACTTGCTAAAAAAAACTGCATGTCATCGTGAGCCCTGCTTTGTTACACTGATTATGTATGCAATCTATTTTTACTCTCATTCTTACAGACAGGTTAGTGTCCATGCACATCCAGCAGGGAATAGCAGATTAATATTGGTCGGTTCAAGTATATATAAACTATACAATTCTGTATTTGGATTTACCAATTTTATCAATTCACTATACTATTCAAGTTAGTAAGTTTTTTAATTTTTTTATTAAAACTTTAAAATTAAAAAATTTTAATTGGTCAAAAGTAAACATTTATAATGTTACAAATTGTGTATTTTATTTATGTATAAACGCTGTTGTTTTAAACTTTCTATTCATCAAAGAATCCAGATTTTTTTTATTATCATTGTTTCCAATAAAATATTAAGCTGCACAACTGTTTCAGCATTGATAATAATAAGAAATGTTTCTTGAGCAGCAAATCATATCATTTAAGAAGAATTTCTGAAGGATCATGTGACACTGAAGACTGGAGTAATGATGCTAAAAAAATCAAATTTGCATCACAGGCATGAATAACATTTTCAAATACATTCAAATAGAAAATAGTTATTTTAAATTGTAATAATTTCTGCACAATATTGCTGTTTTACTGTATTGTTGAACAAATAATGCAGCCTTAGTGAGCATGAGAGGCTTCTTTCAAAAACATTTAAAAAAATTACTGACCCAAATTTTAGTAGTGTAAATAATTAATAAAATCTGACACATTTTAGAAAATGTTTTGAAAATTCGTTTTTGGTTAGAATGATGGTTCTTGTGTTAGGATTTTTTTTTTTAAAGACCTCTTTTGTACAATATTCTTTGTCATGCATTCTCATTTTCATTTCTGTTTTGGTAACTGGAAACATGTGAGCTGTTGTACGCTTGAGAGTTTAAGAGTCTGAATTTGTAGTTTAGCTAATAATTGATTTATTATCTGATAAAACAATCTTATAGGGTCATTATCATAACCCACTTCTCCGTGTGTGGGTCAACTTTATCAGTCAGTTACAGGTATAATGAAGATTTCAATGCTTCTGCTTTCAGATTTAATAAATCACACACACACACACGCACGCACGCACGCACGCACGCACGCACGCACGCACGCACGCACACACACACACACACACACACACACACACACACACACACACACACACACACACACACACACACACACACACACACACACACACACACACACACACACACACACACACACACACACACACACACACACACACACACCTTGTTTACATGTGCAGACATCTGAAAATGCCTTCTCTCGGAATGACCTGTTTCAACAGCCATGAGAGCTGAAAGTGACAACCGTATAAGAAATAAAAATGAAATTATTTGCATGAATTTAAAACTTATAAGCACTTTATACCACAAAACTAATTCATTTCTGCAACACTACACTTCCTTTGCATGCATTTAATTATTATGGTTTCATTTTGTAATGCACATCTAACTATAAAGGTTGCAAAATTTGCAGTGTCATATTATTTACGAATTACAATTGTATTCCACAAAACTATTTGCTTTCTGCCATAATACACTTCTTTTGCATGTTTTAACTGATTCTTTATTAATAATAATAATAGTAAGAAGAAGAATTACATTTTTATGGTTTCATTTTGTAGTGTACATTTTTTGGTTTAATTTAGCATTGTACATCTCAGTATGAAGATTACAAAGTTTGGAGAGTTGCATCTCAGAATGTTTTGCATAAAGTAACGGGTTGTCTTTTGACACAATGTCTTCAAATATAAACAGTCCTGTTTCAGAAATTCGGACTTTCCCAGAATTTGAGCAGTCAGATTTTCCTGGCGCATCAGTTGTGAAAACCCATGCCCATCCCAATCTGAGGCTTATAAAATAGAGCGGGCTGGATGAAGATGATGCGACTGAACTGAGCAAACCAAAGGTAAGAGACTGACTAAACTCACCTCTATATTAATGCAAATGAATGCTAATGTACAGGGATCACACTTCTCTTTGAGTGTAAGATAAGTTGCTAAGGATAAAAGCATTTTCTAAGGATTGTCCAAATATGTTTATGTGTTCAGGTCTAATCATGAAGCTCATTCTTGCTGTGCTGGTGGTGCTTTTGGTGGTTGGGACCCAGGCGCAGTGGTACCGCTTCCCAGTAGAAGCCGTTCTAGGTCACTTATTTGTCCTTTAATACCTCCATTTAACTTAAGTCAAATTTGAGGCATATTTGAACCATTTTCACCGTGTCTCGTAGGTTCGTGGGACATGGGGAAAGCCTACTGGCATATGAGGCAGGCCAACTATAAGAACTCAGACAAGTATTTCCATGCACGTGGGAACTATGATGCTGCAAACAGAGGCGCGGGAGGCAGATGGGCAGCCGAAGTCATCAGGTACGCACAGAGTCATACTAACTGTGGCAGATTTGATCACTCTGTTCCTGATAAGCTCTCAGGAAGCACTTAAGAACTTGTAGAGTGAGGGAATTATTTCTCTCTCACTCTACAATGAAACAGCAGCATATTAAAATGGGTGTTTAAATGATTTTGGGGGATTTCATAATCATGATAATGTTAATGATGTGTGCAGTGATGGAAGAGAGGCTCTGCAGCATCTCAGTCGCCGCGGCAACTCTGATTCTGAAGCCGACCAGGAGGCCAATCGCTGGGGGCGTAACGGTGGAGACCCCAAGCGCTTCAGGCCCGAAAGCCTTCCCAAGAAGTACTGAACACAGAAAAGCTCTGAAATCATCAGTGCCTCCTGGATCTTTTTTTTTTTTTTTTGCTCTAAAATTGCTTGATTAAATTTTGCATGACAAAACTAACACTCTCTTGATTATCATTAATTAAATCTGCATTTATGACAACAAAAATGTAATCTTGATTATCACACTGATTTGACTGTTTTGAGCATCATTTAGTCTGATTAAAGAATGAAACTTATTCATGTGTAGCTATGTCTATTTTAATTGTGGTTGTTGTTGTTTTTGCATTTAACAGTAATGCATATGACATAAAAACAAATTTGACCCCAAAAATGGTAGGCACACACACACACACACACACACCATGAGAGCTGAACACTTCATATGTCTCAAGCTTGTTCCACCATAAAACGGGCAACAATTCTCATTCAGAAAGCATACATTGTCAAATTTCTTGCCAAAGACAAAAAGTTAAAGGGGAGAAAAACTAAGTCAAATTCCTGAAGCATATTACATAAACAAAACATCAGCAACACGTAGGCCTATAATAAAGCTTTACAAAATACATCAACAACATGTATAGTACAATGATGTATGTGCAGTATTGGAGTCCAAAATGTGCCAGGTCTTTTTGTGTAGAGCTTGTTCTCCCCGTTCTGACTTTCTTCTGGGTTTACCCCACAATCCAAAGACATACAGGACAGGTGCAAGTTATTACCTATATTTGTAGGTGTGAGTGTAAATATGAATGTGTGTGGGTGTGACACACACATCCAACACTCCACCCTGAACAGTTCACATTTAATTAAATTACACCTTTCAAACAGTCACAACATGTGACTTAATGAGAAAACGTTTGTCGCTGAAAGAATGATCAATACATTGAGAAATACTTGCAACATTTACAATATAGATATGTATAAATACAACCGCAATAGTGTGTATTTAGTGAAAACATAGTTCGATTACTTTCAGCAACTTTACTGTTTAGTTACTTTAAACATTCTGAATCTAATTGCGTATTATTGATATTTGTCATGCTTATTGTCATGCTTTTAGCATCATCCGTGTGATGGACCCCTGTCAGGGTGTTTTCTTGTCTACGACCCGAGACGCTGGGAAAGACTCCAGCCTCCCCACGACCCAATAGGATGGGTGGATGAACAGTACTGTGAGGGTTCTAGTCCTCTCTCTCTATGCAACTTTTCTTTCCCCACCAATGTGTCTCATTCACGTCAGTGGTTGTTTAAGTTGGAGCGCCTCCAGCTGGTCACTCAAGCACAATGTCTTTACACTACTTTTTCATTACTAACATAATAGTACAATTCTGTGGTTTCTTTTAAACCAGCCCTTCACGCTAATTATAAAATAACTTAAATCGAGTGTTCATTTTATTTCATTTGGTAACATATTCCCAAGTTTTAACTCATTTGACTGTTGTTTTTTGCTACAAATTATGTAGGAAGAGTAACCGATGAATTTTTGACAAGAGTGCACCTCAAAAAAATCTGCATCATAACAGGAGTTCTGACCTTTGTCACAAAAAGTTGACGCACACACCTTTAATAATTAAAACTTTGGTTTTAATGCTAAAAGTTCATAATAAAACATATAATCTAGTATTTTTCAATAAAAAAATATAATATAATATTATCCTCTAAAAAGTACTATATATATTATCCTCTAAAATATAATATTATCTTTTTTTATCGCCTTTTTTATTACATCACATATTTTAGTAGTTATCATAAATTAGGTATCATTTGAAAGCTTACAAACTCAGAATTCATCCTGTGAAAACCGTTTTGAAATTGAACGTTGCTTTACCATACAAACGGTACTCTAAATTATTTTATCAGGCTCCTCCCTTTTTGGGCATCATTATATTTCATAATTTATGATCAAAACCTTTTCTAATCCAGACAAAACACATATTGTCAGAAAGGTCTTAGTCTCAAGGTTCCAAATATTGTGACAGAATTGATATTTGGACAGAAATGTATTAATTTGTTAAGGCAGAATGTATACAACTAAATTCAATGGAATGTATGTCACCCGGTGGCTAATTTTGGTACTACGCCTAAACAAAATCTCAATTTTTGTGATATCAACTTCAAATTTGGAACACAACTTGGTTAGATATATGGCTTTGATTTTATAGTAATTTTATAGTAAAAAATATTTTGTAAAATATATATTTTTTATAAAATAAAAAATATATAGTATAGTATATTTGATTTACTGTAAATTTAAACTTCCATAACCTTTTCATACTTTCATTTTTTGAAGTGTTTTCACTTCAGCAATAATCTGCTGAGTGTTTCCTTTAAAACAAGACCAAACTTGGGTCTATATTCCAAAGCATTCTTGTATTACAACCATTTAAGTTTAAATAGTGCATTTTAACCCCCATTCTCAAAAAGGGGGGTGACAGCAAAGGGGTTAAATGCTTCAGAAAAGTTCGACTTTATGAACACGTGAAATGCTTCATATTTAAAAGGGGGTTTATTTATTTTTTAATATATTCCCATCTTGCAATCATTCTATGTTGTTCGATGCTCTTGTGTCTGATGTACCATTGCACTAAAACTTCAAACTTTCAATAAAACTGAGTCAAAATGATTTTGCCAATGTATCTGAAAGTGAAATCATATATTCAAACACAATGGTTTGCTAGTGTTGGCTACATCTGACTGCAGGCATCTGGAATTTCCATGTATTGGGATGATACTTACACTGCAAGAACAATCTGTTTTAATATTTGGGAGTGCAAACAGGAAAATTCCATACAAAAGCAAACCTGAAATTACTCTAAGACACTGTGGCCAACCAAGTAAAGCAGTCTTAAAAGGTAGTCAATGATCTGTTTTGAATCATTACATAAGGGGGGAAAAATACCACAAAAAAACACATTATTTTCATCTTTGTATTCACATCCTGATGAATGGCACTAGCAACATCAAGGATAAAAACACTTTGGATAAAAGTGTCCGCCAAATGCATGAAAAAGTTACATATTCAGTTATATAATGGTTTGGATTAGAATAGATAGCCAAATAAATAATCATGACAACCGACTTGCCAGAAGTTGTGCAACACAGAAATCGGCCGAACCATTTGCGTCACACAACCGGGAAACTCCCATGTCCAAACACAAGCCCATTATAGTCAATGATGGTCTTGCGACACCTAACTCCGCAAAAAGACAAGATTAGAAACTGCCTCAACACAATGTAAGGATGCCGTGCTTGAGGTTTTAGTTTACAATTTATGTGCAAAGATCCAATGTATCTATATGGAATGTGAGCTTTTAATATTTTTTGCTGAGGGAAATATTAAACAGACTAAGGATAATCCTTTTTTTTTTTTTAAGTCTCTCAGGCTTGCAGTCATGAAACTTTTTGTAATCAATGTTTAGCATAATGTGTGTATTTAAACCATTGCCTTCAACCATTGGGTTTTTGCATGAATGCAGGCAGAAATGACCAGAGGAAAAAGTTATTTGAGATCAGATTGCATCAGATTCAAAGCAGTGAAAATGTAACTAGATTGTAACTAGTGTATTTGGTGTGTGATAGTGGAGTACAGATTCTAATCACTCATCCTACTTCCACATTATAAACATTGAAAAAGAACTTAACTTCTGAAATGAACTAGGAAGCAAAAATCATTTTGTAATAAACTTTATTTTGGTCCCGAGGAGACAGATTAGTCAAAGAGTCCAAATCCCATGTCGTCTTCGGATTCTTCAGACTCATCTTTCTTCTCTTCTTTCTTCTCCTCCGCTGCAGGAAAAAGAAAAGGGATAAAGACATTAACAACATTACAGGAACTAAATGAAACCAACCAACACTCCGTCCTGAACGGTTCACATTTATTTGACCCTAAATTACACCTTTCAAACAGTCACAGCATATGACTTAATTTAACTGGGGTTCATTGATATTTCATAAAATACTGCACAGACAGACAGAGAGAGAGAGAGAGAGAGAGAGAGAGAGAGAGAGAGAGAGAGAGAGAGAGAGAGAGAGAGAGAGAGAGAGAGAGAGAGAGAGAGAGAGAGAGAGAGAGAGAGAGAGAGAGAGAGAGAGAGAGAGAGAGAGAGAGAGAGAGAGAGAGAGAGAGAGAGACCCAGGGTAAAATAAGGCACTGACCTGCAGGGGCGGCAGCAGATGCTCCAGCGGATGGGGCGGCAGAGCTGGAAGCAGCAACAGCACCACCGGACGGCACGCTGGCCAGCTTACTGAAACCTGACAGACGGTGACAAACACACACACTGAGACATGCTCAAACTGATCCTGTACCCTTGTTTCTTATCCAGGACACTCTGCAGGGTTCCCATGCACTCTTTGACCAAAATTTGTTTGGGATTACGGGATAAGGCTTTTTAGAAAAATATATACACTCAAAAAACAATTCCTATGAAACTATTTTAAAGCTGGAATTTATCAAATTATTAATTTCCTCAAGGTAGATCAAAGTGCTGTACAGAGAAAAAGAAAATTACATAAAACAAGACAAAAAGCCTACATAATACCCCAAAGTACTAACTTAAATGCCAATGAAAATAAGTATTAAAGGTTTCACCCAAAAATGAAACCGTTTTGAGGAGAATTGGGTTGTAGCTCGTTGTCTAGGTTACTGTGATTGATAGGCGTCGTTTGTGTTTTAACAACGTTTAGCTCAAGAATATTGATCCGGGAAGTTCGAATAGCCTATGTGAATATATTGCCAACTTCACTGATCTCCTTGAGTTAAGCACTGACCGCATTTCTTTATATTTGAGTCCAAGTTCAAACACTATGAAACGCTCCATTGACGTACGGAGCTCTGAAACACTGCCAGCGGGCCAGTCCTCTGAAGAGACACTATCGCTTTATATGACGACCAGGCTTAATTTGGCTTTTACATGGGGACAATCCATGGCTAGATGTGCATTAAACGATTTTAATGCACGACATGGAGGCAAAGAACCACCTGATGCAAAGGGTGCATTTAAATGGTTCAACACATTTAGCCATGAATATTCCACTTATACCAATATTAATAAAAAAAGTTGTGGGCCAGT